CACTGATCGCTGTTTGACACCAAACCTTCCCTTGTGATCCTGGGGGTCATTTGTCATGGATTTTCTTGTAGGGGGACACCAGGAAAGGGCTGTGGGACCCCAGGAATGCATTTGGTGACACAGCGGGATGGCAGCGCTCTCCTCTTCCTCCTCCCCGTCAGTTTGCTCTCACCACAGCTCTTGTCTCCTTGCATGTTATTCCCTTCTCCCTTGTTTTAGGGGTGTTATTCCTGCCTGGCTTGTCAGGGCAGGTCAAGACAGGATTGATCTGGCTGGAGGTCACTCCCCAGCCGAGCAGCCTCCTCCATCCCACACCCGGAGGGAGCAGCAGCCTCRGCGAGGGCTCTGGGGCTGAAATCTGTCTGCTGCTGTCAATGGGATTACAGTGCCACTGCAAACCCGCTGCTCTGAACAAATGGGTGAAAGAAAATGTTTATTTTTAGAGCTGGAACCATGATAAATATGTGGAATTTATCCAGGGTCTGCCTGCTGTACCTTTTTGAAATGCAAAGTGCATGTCTGTTAAAATACCTCTCCAAAGGTCAGCACAACCTCCAGAATGAGTGTGCTGGCCTTTTGGAGAGCCAGGGAAGATTCAGACCAGAGCACGGGCCCCAATAACCCAAATCTGYTCCAGTGCCATCCAATACCACAAGGATGTGCATGGAAATGCTGCCTTGCCAGAAGGGTTTATCCTTYATGTTTCAGTGAGGAGCCTTACACCGTTCCTCACCCCTCACATCAGCTTTTCCTTCTGTTTTCCTGCCTTTTATATTTGCTGAAATCCTGCTGGTGCGTTTGAAGGACGTGCTGTGAGTGTCGTGTTTGAAACTGGTGAGAGTAGGGATGAAAAGTGGAAAACTSGAATAAAAAGAGGGGTGGAAGCTCAGGGGAATCCACAGGTTTGTGTCCCCTGTGATGATGCAGCCAGGTTGCATCACTGGGCTCAGGGATTGCAGTGCTCGACAACTTCACATTTTTCAATCCTTTTAGCTCCCTGCGAGCTGGAGGAAGAGTGTTACTCTCTTTTAAATAGGGAAGTGAGGCAAAAAGAGAAGGAATGGCTTGCTCCGAGTGTTGTAGGAATCTCACAGCTGAAAAAAAACCAAAAAAAAACCAAGAGTTGGCGTAGCTCTTCAGCGCCTGTCAGGCACCCTGGGGTGGGGTGGCACTTCTGCCACCAGCCTGGCTGTCGTCATCCCACCTTTGGGGTGGGAATGCACAGCCAGGAGAGGAGAGGAGAGGCTCTGGAGCACCAGCAGAGGGACCAAAACGCGATCCAAGCCATGGAAACCGAGCTGCAAATTAGGGCAATTCAAAGGCACGGTTCAAAGGCACAAACATCCTGTGGAGCTCTCCAGTCCCCGGCAGTTCCTAACGAGCAAAGCACATGCCCCAGCTCAGCCCCAGGCAGTGTTTCAGTGGGAAAACTCTGCTTTTCTGCCTCGGGTTGTGGCAGGCTCGATTCCAGCAGCAGGTGTTCACGTGAAGGGGGGAGCGGCGTTATAAATGAATTATCCGTTCATTTCCGTCGGGAGCTTTTCCTATTGTTTAAACGCAAAATGCTTTCCTGTTTTGA